AATAACAGTGTATGTTCCTTATCTTGAAATTTTGACCTAACGTTTTTTATCTAAACAGGTGACTTTTTCAAATAATTTTATTAGGTATTTGGTCTGCTGTAAATACGTTCTTCTTTTTAATTTTAATTCCATTTAACCACTGTATAAAATTAACAAATATCTTCCAACATTTTTTTTTAGTGGTAACTATTTTCTAAATAAAAAATACCTATATTTTTGAATGTGATATGTACTTAATACCTTAAAACAAAAGTTAAATAAGAGGTGGTTTTTCTATTTAAAACCAAATAACTGGTGCTACCTAATAATTCTGAAATGCTCAACACTTCAATTAAATTTTTTTTTTAATAATTTGAGAGGTTAGGAACCTAAACAAATTTGTATCCACAATTCAAAAATTACAAAAGCAAGATTACATGCATCTAAATAGTTAAAATAAGATGAATAAAAAACTTACTACAAAATTATCTAATAGAAAAAGCATGCTTAAAAATTCAAAGTGTTGTTTACATTTCGTTTTTTGCCTCATCCTGTCTGATTTAGCACGGTAAACTTTATCACCCCCGTATGTCTACATTATAAATTTTTACACTTAAACTTATTTTTATAAGTATTCACACAAACCCATTACAACCACCAACTTGGAGATGTAACAGAAACTTACAAAATTCAGACTTTTCTTGCAATTAAACGAAGGCGCATGTGGCTGCCGCCATTTTTGCCGGAAATTACAGGTTTCTACTACCAAAGTAGTATAACAATATACGGGGGGCATACAATAAGCAAACGAATCCGGCAAACTTATTTAAGTGCAAACATTAAACATAACCTCATCGTTTTTAACTTATGCATTTTTCGACCACTTTTGCTTTAAAAAACGCAAATAAATTGACCAAGTAATTAAAAATAAAAAATAACACGAATGTACTTCATAAAACCTAAAATTTTCTTCAATTTAATGTATAGTTATGGAAATAAATGTCCCTATAAGCGTGTACATTATGTAGATATTTTGTCTTATTCTTTATAGGCAATTTTGTTATTTCTTTAAAATTTTTAAATGATTACGTAGATTTTGCGCGCAGCGACAACATAGGTAAATAAGAGAAAAGAAGGTAACTATGTTAGTGCCCACCTACTTCCGTTTTGACCCTGGGAGTTTTCAGTTTTGCGTATTTAAATTACACGGTCAACTTTGTTTCTTTTTGGGCCTCCTGCAAAAATTAACTTGAGAGAAGCTACCAACAGCTGCCATTTTTACAGCGTAACGCCGTACATGTGTGTGTCAGTTGCGTGCACTAGAAACAGCGCTGCGGTTAACCGAAGATACATCCCACCGGTAACTAATAAACTCAAAAAACACACAAAAACAAGTCGCATACTCGTAAAAAATTCACTAAATTCCCGTCGATTTATCCTGGGATCACAGTAAAACACAATACCGTTTAATAGTAACGTTCTTCACCACTCCCGTATAATTTTTTTTTTTGTTCAAAGTATTCCATCGCGAACTCAGTCAACGATAGTTGTCAGTGTCACCCTAAAAATCAATAAGAGTTCACCACCCCTTAGCCTTTCCCCACCCTCTGTTCATTCAACAACATCGCGATTGTCCCTCACACACGGAGTCAAAACACAACCCTTTTAATAGTGAACAACATTCCGCACAAAAGTTCTGTACATTTCTTCTTACCGGTAGGCTACTTTCTGATCATAGAAAAATGCAATTACCTTAACGTTGCCAGATCGTTTTACAATCATTTTTTTTAAATTCTAAGGCAATGTTATCCATATTTGCTATAAAAAGTGTATAAGAGCTATTAAGTATCTTATTCTTATCTTATTAGCCACCCTTTTATAAAAAGCATAATATTAGCAGGTATCTTTAAAGTATTTTTATAAAATGTTAATACATTTATTTAGTTCTCCTCTATTTTGTTGTTAATCAAGGATAATTATATATATTTGGGCCAATGTAAATAAAACAAACAGGTTTGTTAATGTGTTTCCGCATCATTTTTTTTATTTTAATACAATTACAAACAATATTTGGCAACTATGTACAACCTAGTAACTTAAGCGTAGTTCATATTAAAAACTGCATACTTTTATCTGCTGTCATCTTATGGGCGCCGGGTAAACTATCCAGTGCCATTTTTCTTGAAGTGTAATTTTCCAATTTTTCCAAAGATTACGCCATGGAGGTTACGCTACGTCCATAGCAATACCGAAAGCACAGAGACGTATCTTAAAAATTTCAGTAAGATTATAGTTTTTAATCCTAGATCGATTGAACTATAAAATGAGGTTTAAATTATTTTATTTGCAATTTGTTAAATGTGTATGTTTTTTACATTGATTTAACAAAATTATATGAAAGTAGTATAAAATAGAACGGTCCTGACATTTTTACTTTATAAAACAAATTGTTTTTGAAAGTTTTCGAAATTACTAAAACAACTTAGAAGAATGATNTACGGACATTATTTTATTTGTGTAAGTTGGGTGAATGGAATGTTGTAATTCGCTAAGGGAATCTTCAATCTAACAATAAAAAAAGATATTAACCATAATTTCACGTTTAGCTTCACTTTTATATTACAGTCGGAACAAATACTCAGCGTTGTTTATTGTTAATAATATTAAGCGTTATTTGTTATTATTAATAATACAACTTTAACTTACTTGTTTAAGAAGTTGAATTGACGTCTTTAGAACTCTTTGCCATTTCTGCATTTCGATTGTATGAAGAGTTTCTTGTTTTTGTAACAGTTTAATCCACTCTTCATGGGAATTGGGGGGTTCCCTATTAAAACAATTAATAGTTTTGAAATTGTGTATACTGTTTTAGCAATTTTAAATATGTAAAAGTAAATATGACCTACTTCAAAATGTGAAGATCTAAAAGTGTATAAGGAGGCGCCTCCTCCAGTGACCACAGCTTATAATACAACATAACATTTAAAATTACTAAGAGTATAAGTACAGCAAAAATGAGAATTGTAGTAAAATCTGTGGGTATTGTCCTTCTGCCTCGCTTATCCCTTGACGCCACAAGATCATCTAAAACAAGTTCATTTTTTTTTCTTTTGAGCGCAAAATTAATTAATTTCGATGGAATATATAGTGCATTTTTAAATGTTTGGGGCACTTACTTCTTTTAATAGGCACATATTCTGCCTCTGGAGGAGGGATGATGGAGTGTCCGTGACGTCTTCTTCTCGATTTTCGTTTCACTGCGGGTCCCAAAACTTCATCCCCTTCTAAATGCAATGCTTTTGCCAAAGTTGAAAAGTAATCTTCCATGCCCACCCAAACATTTTTTTCAATAAAACCTTAAAACATAATGTAAGTAATCGCGAGGATACCTATTTAATACATTTAAAAAATATTTACACATCAAGGGGGGAAAATCGGACATCGTGAGAATGAAAACGTTTTTTACTCAAATTTTACAGAAAAGCCGTTGTTAGATTTAACTTTTGCATAAAAATATGAACATTGATTGCTCATTTTACCTTAAAAATAAATAGTTTATGGTTGAGCGAAAGAAGTCTATTATGTAAAAATTAATTTTTAAACAAGGTTGTGCATGAGCAAAGACAAAACAAATTATAATTACGAATAATCAGTCAATTGGAATGGTTATGTACCTATTTCGATCTATCAACATTATAAATATGAAATAAAAATGATTAATAAAGTTGTTGCCATAACATGCAAAACAGTGATTTTATAATGTAAAAAAGTAATCTGTAAAGTGTGGAATGTCTGAACGTCACATTATTTCCTCAAAATGAATAATTTTTTAATGTGATGCTTTCAATGAAATATATAAAATTGGTCTTACCTCTTACCAAACCCCATACAGATTTTCTGTATTTAATTTGGGCAAATACTACAAGCGAGCTATGAGTATCTGACACCCTCTGAAGGCAGTAGTGAGCCATCACGTAAAAACTATCAGCATACGGAATTCCGGCATTCGTAATTTCTATATCAATAGAATATAAGAAGCCTGGTTTACTACACGGTTGCATAATCTAAAAAGTAAGGATTGTCTTATTAAATAGCCATATTTTTTAATTGAAAATCAGCAAATTAAGTGTTCTTAGTGTTTAATTATCTATCAAGTTAGAACTTTTATCTTAAAAATTAATTTGAAAAATTCACATTTAAAACAATTTACATTCGTTTTTTTCTTCCTGAAATAGAATTGCCCATAAAATTTAATTTCTGCTAAATTTTTTAACCAATGAAAAACTTTAAATTTTGCAATAACTTTTAAAATGAAACCCAATAAAAGACATTTTACCTGATTTTCGGTTACTTGTGCACTCTTTGGGCCTACAGTTTGCATGAGTGGTATTGTGAGATTGACAACCCTTGATTTGGTGTTGTTTTCAGCATTGTGTGTCCAAGCGGTTTGAGTGAGATCTGTAGTTTTTCTAGAAGCGTGAAAATCCAAAAAGAATTTGGAACTGGTAAATAATAGCGTGAAAAGCTGATCTACATGTATTGGCATCACTTCATTAAACATAGTTCTGCCTTCATGGGGTACACTGCATTTTGGATCGCAGATAAATCTACGAAAATATGAAATATAGTACGACGCTATGGGAGTATACATTAAACTGGAAACTATAACGTAATTAAAATCCTGATCACAAAAAAAAACGAGCCAGCTTGCATAATAAACAGGACGGTACTTATTTGATATAGTTGAGGTGAGCGTTTTGAACTAATGGTCGAAGTTTTCTCAGCTTCTTGTAATTCATGAGATTCCCTTTCTTATTAAGAGTAACTAATTGCACCTCTATTTACTCTAATTTATCATAATTAAGTAAACCATAAAATTTAAATTATTCATTTCCAACACGAAATAATATATAAAATGAAAAAATCTACATAATATACCTATACCTACATGCCTATCACGTTGCAGAAATAATTAAAAAATAAAAACAGTTAAGGAAGGCAGTACAAATAAGTGGGTAGGTATTTTACTTAATGTCATTGAAAATAAATATGTTTCACCGATAATTGTATAAACCTTATTACACATTAAAGTACCTACTTTTTATAAAGGTTTCACTTTGTTTATGTTTTTAAAAATGTGAATAACAGTGTATGTTCCTTATCTTGAAATTTTGACCTAACGTTTTTTATCTAAACAGGTGACTTTTTCAAATAATTTTATTAGGTATTTGGTCTGCTGTAAATACGTTCTTCTTTTTAATTTTAANTGAAATTGTGTATACTGTTTTAGCAATTTTAAATATGTAAAAGTAAATATGACCTACTTCAAAATGTGAAGATCTAAAAGTGTATAAGGAGGCGCCTCCTCCAGTGACCACAGCTTATAATACAACATAACATTTAAAATTACTAAGAGTATAAGTACAGCAAAAATGAGAATTGTAGTAAAATCTGTGGGTATTGTCCTTCTGCCTCGCTTATCCCTTGACGCCACAAGATCATCTAAAACAAGTTCATTTTTTTTTCTTTTGAGCGCAAAATTAATTAATTTCGATGGAATATATAGTGCATTTTTAAATGTTTGGGGCACTTACTTCTTTTAATAGGCACATATTCTGCCTCTGGAGGAGGGATGATGGAGTGTCCGTGACGTCTTCTTCTCGATTTTCGTTTCACTGCGGGTCCCAAAACTTCATCCCCTTCTAAATGCAATGCTTTTGCCAAAGTTGAAAAGTAATCTTCCATGCCCACCCAAACATTTTTTTCAATAAAACCTTAAAACATAATGTAAGTAATCGCGAGGATACCTATTTAATACATTTAAAAAATATTTACACATCAAGGGGGGAAAATCGGACATCGTGAGAATGAAAACGTTTTTTACTCAAATTTTACAGAAAAGCCGTTGTTAGATTTAACTTTTGCATAAAAATATGAACATTGATTGCTCATTTTACCTTAAAAATAAATAGTTTATGGTTGAGCGAAAGAAGTCTATTATGTAAAAATTAATTTTTAAACAAGGTTGTGCATGAGCAAAGACAAAACAAATTATAATTACGAATAATCAGTCAATTGGAATGGTTATGTACCTATTTCGATCTATCAACATTATAAATATGAAATAAAAATGATTAATAAAGTTGTTGCCATAACATGCAAAACAGTGATTTTATAATGTAAAAAAGTAATCTGTAAAGTGTGGAATGTCTGAACGTCACATTATTTCCTCAAAATGAATAATTTTTTAATGTGATGCTTTCAATGAAATATATAAAATTGGTCTTACCTCTTACCAAACCCCATACAGATTTTCTGTATTTAATTTGGGCAAATACTACAAGCGAGCTATGAGTATCTGACACCCTCTGAAGGCAGTAGTGAGCCATCACGTAAAAACTATCAGCATACGGAATTCCGGCATTCGTAATTTCTATATCAATAGAATATAAGAAGCCTGGTTTACTACACGGTTGCATAATCTAAAAAGTAAGGATTGTCTTATTAAATAGCCATATTTTTTAATTGAAAATCAGCAAATTAAGTGTTCTTAGTGTTTAATTATCTATCAAGTTAGAACTTTTATCTTAAAAATTAATTTGAAAAATTCACATTTAAAACAATTTACATTCGTTTTTTTCTTCCTGAAATAGAATTGCCCATAAAATTTAATTTCTGCTAAATTTTTTAACCAATGAAAAACTTTAAATTTTGCAATAACTTTTAAAATGAAACCCAATAAAAGACATTTTACCTGATTTTCGGTTACTTGTGCACTCTTTGGGCCTACAGTTTGCATGAGTGGTATTGTGAGATTGACAACCCTTGATTTGGTGTTGTTTTCAGCATTGTGTGTCCAAGCGGTTTGAGTGAGATCTGTAGTTTTTCTAGAAGCGTGAAAATCCAAAAAGAATTTGGAACTGGTAAATAATAGCGTGAAAAGCTGATCTACATGTATTGGCATCACTTCATTAAACATAGTTCTGCCTTCATGGGGTACACTGCATTTTGGATCGCAGATAAATCTACGAAAATATGAAATATAGTACGACGCTATGGGAGTATACATTAAACTGGAAACTATAACGTAATTAAAATCCTGATCACAAAAAAAAACGAGCCAGCTTGCATAATAAACAGGACGGTACTTATTTGATATAGTTTCAAATTTAATTTTATTTTTCTCTTACTCTTTAGTAACCTTGGAAATACATACTTGAATGGTATTTTTGCAAAAATTATTTATTATTATCCATAAAGATTTTTAAGATTTGTAAAAATTTCGTTTTCATATGTCACTTTAATGTCCGTTTGCATATAAAAATAAAAAGCCACCATTATTAAAATCGCTCACTTATTCTTGTCATCAGAATCCGAAGAGTCCGACATATCCGTAGGAAGATTGACTTCGGGGACGACCTGGGTGGGCTTCCCATTAGTTTGTAGTTCCAATGTCTGTGGGATATCGACGCTATTTGCGTCTTTTTTATCATCTTCAACACTCGTCGGTTCCATTTGAATACACGGTTCGCAAAGACCTCCTGAGTACTCCTGTTAAGCAGATACACCTCCAGAATACCTCACGTAACAGAGAGACATAGTATTTTCAGTACATTTAAAGCAGTGCTTGCAACATTGCAGTATAGCACATAATCAATAATTAATGCAAACCGAATTTTAATTTTGCTAAATGGCAGACTGTTGTAACTGGATTTTATATACAAGTGTGAAATTTATAAGCACAATAATTTATCATAAGAGTGTTACGAAACAACAAATAAAATGTACGAAAAGGAAAAGTAAAAATTAAATACCTCTGAAAAAGAATCGCCTGATAGACGGACTGATAACTTGTCTTCGTCTGTCCCAGGGGGAATATAATCGTCGTCGTCACTAGTCAAACCCAATTCATCGCCATAGCATTGATGAACCTGAAAAAGCAAAATTTCGAATTATAAGAATACACTTTGATAACTAAAAATAAGGAAGAAATTCATTCAAAACGACTTGAATCCATAATGAAATAAAAAAATAGATACCACTTATTACAGAATCCAACTCGGTTGAGGTGTTTGAAGGAGGTGGGAGGGAGGAAAGGAGTATAGTACCATTTCTCAGGGGTCAGAAATAATGAAAAACGCAAAGTTTAAACTAAATCAACTCCATTACAACCATTTAAATCTCATCATATAAAGGATTCTTCTGAACAAGCGCGTACAAAGCAAGTGTTTTCATTTGTCCATCTTAAATAACTAGCATAAGTTTCGAATGCTTGTATATGCGCTTGCTTTTGTGTCTCTTACTGTTTAGTAAGGACTACAAGATAATTACACCTTTTGATTTTCTTACCCATTGCCACATTTCCTGACTTGACATAGGCTGATCAAGTAATGCATTTTGCCAAATCCTAAATAGCATTAAAAAAGTCTTGTCTCTGGAAGTAAAGCTAGTAAGAAAAAATTTCTCAGCTTTAGTGCAGACGAGGATGGCGTTTGGTATGACCAGAGCGGTCTTTTCCTTCGTAATCGCAGACACGTCGCGCCATTTTAACGTTACACAGGTCTCCCAACCGAAAATGTTTGCGTAAAAACAGAGAAAATTCTGCGACGCATATAGTCGACCCTGCACAAGAATTTCCTTTTGCAAGGCACACGAGTAATCTATAATAATACTTTGTTTTTAATAAGGAAAACAACTTAATAAAACTTTAAAATCAATGTTAAGACAAAATAATTTGAAGGCAATGTTAAACTTAAAATTTAAAGGCAGGGAGTTATGCTTTCAGATAATAATTCTTACGACTTCAAAAAGTGTAACATACAAACAGAATTATACAAGACAAATAATTTTAGTATACGCATTTATTACATTTGTTCTTACCTACTACCAATCGTTCGTCGTCAGGGACGTCCTTAAAAATTCGTTTAAAATCTTCGGATCTAGATTTGTATGTTGGATAGAGAACATTGTACCATGCAGTTTTCTTCTTAGATTTATCCGTCGATCTGATTTCTTTTTTTTCACGTAAACATTCAGAACTGGCTCCGTCAATATTAAGGCTTTTATTACTTTCTTGACTCTGTAGAACATGAAATGGAAAAATGTTTTACTTTTTCATTTTACTATTAAACTTTAAAATTATATTAAAGTCGTTACTAAAAAGACAACAGAACTGTCTTATTATGAAACCTTTATGAATAATTATAAAATAAAGTTACAATGAATGTCTGTATCGTATACATACATGTATCATGTAAATAGTTTTTAAAAAACGCCCACAAACTAAATTTGGGAATTAAGTGCAAGAAGAAAAATAACTAAGAAAAATAATAAAAAAATTATACAAAGCGAAGCATTTACTCTGGGTAGGTATAATGCAGCCAGTAACATTTTTCTTAATATTTTGTACCTAATAGAAAACAAAGCTAATGCACATCTATACACTAGAGGTAGTGCATGTTTTAATAAAAAAATAAAGACTAACCTCCGTGTTATGACGTCTTTTTGTGATAACTCCCTTGAAAAAGAAAAAAGGACGCTAATGATGTCATACATTCTGATGCTAATGTAATTTTCAATTTAATTTTAATTTTCTTTTAATGTTTTTCTGTACCTATTAATTTGGCATCCATTTGAACTACTTCTTTTGAATGCTATTCTATGTTTTGTAGTTTATATTGCAATAACGCACATAAACTGCTATAATTACTATTTTAAGATTCAATTAAAATCTCGTAATATACATATATACAAATTTATAATAGCTAATAAAAGTATTCATTGTAAAAGAGGATTTAATAGTGTTTATTTTTCTAAGAACGAGTTTAAAAAGATACTTCAATGAACAAAAAATTAACAAAAAGGTAACTTTCTCCTAGCACCTTTCTACACTTCCTTGTAGAATTACATAAAAATTTTTGCTTCTTAAGTATACATTGTTATCAAAGTGATTAAATTAAAGTACACAATTGTTACAATAGATAAAATTGATTACTTATAAAGAACTTAAACTTTACAATATTAAACTATATTCTGGTTGGAAGTAGGCAATGACAATTAACCATTACATAAATTTTTGAGAAAATGTAATGCTTATAAAGGTTTTATACAACAACAAAGACAAAATTGTTGTGGTCCACTGCTATCAAGTGAAAGTATTTTATTTTTATTAACCCACTTATTTGTCTTAAGACTTGTAATAAAAACAGATATTGTAATACAAAAAATACTCACAGGTGAGCTGTCTTGCTTCAATGTGGAAATGATTGAGTCTCTGTCTTTTGAATTAAATATTATCATAAGACCATCTGCAGGGTGGATAGATTCCCTTCTGGGGGGTAAAGGAGATGCTCTAGGACTACTTCTAGGGCTCGATTTTGGAGTAGAAGATCTAAAGGATAGCAAACAGTATATTACAGACCCAAAAATATGTAAGGTTAATTTGACTTATTTACTTACTTGGTTTCTACTAGTGGAAGTTCATTCTGTTTTTCACTTGATGGATTCTGTGGCTGTACCATTTTTAAATACGATATAATATAAATTAGCAACGTTTTAATTTTGAAGAAGTAGCTGAAGTGTGGAACATTAGGATCAGTTTCAAAATTACCTGTATATTCATGAACGTTGATGATTTTAAGATGCAGGCGAAGTTCACATTTTTACATATTTATTGTAAATATTAATATGTGAAGAACTCAAGTTTAACTTCATTAAAACAAAAACGCTATTAACTTTAGAAATTACTGTAACAATTAAGATCAACTACTGCAATAGCTCTTTAAGAACTCCGTTTTCAGCTTCAACTGCATAGATAATAGTTCAACTGTCAAAATCGTGAAAACCGATATTGCGCTTGTTGTAACGCATTGGCAACATTGGTTTTGCACTTTTCCGAAAAGAAAAAAACTTAACGTTTTCTGTTCATGATAAGCAATAATGCGAGATGAAAACAAATGATAAAGAGGTTTCTACAAATCTTATATTTGTTGATCAGGTACTAATAACAATAAATTGAATTTATGAGACTTTAATCTTCAGCTTTGTGGAATTCAACTACAAAAAACTAAAACAAAATTTAACAATATTTTATTTAGACTCATATTACTTTAACGTGATGGGTAATTATTGTGACTAACACTAGTACTACATAGATATTACAATTTTTTAATAACCAAACTAGACTATTGTTACTAATAGCTAGTGTAGCAGTCATAGATAATGGATATACGAAGGGTAAGCAGTAGTCAACGAGATTTTTCTACATATATATGCCTAGTTACCAGCATAGCGTTGGAAGTCCTTAAAAAAAATATAGCTTTTGATCGCTTTTGATAAATATTTTGATTAAAAACTACGATTTGATTTTATTTTTAACAAAAGCAGTGTTGCCAGTGCTTTAGTAGTTGTTAGAAAGAGCAAGGTTGATCAAATGCTAAATGTAAGAATGAGAAGAAGAATCCTTAGAGTAAATGACCGACAACATTGGTGTGTGAATAGAGACGCCATAAGTGTTTTATGTGAGTTTATTTAACAATATTTACATATTTTTGAGAAGATGATGTTTGCAGGTGAGTAATTTTATAAGTGCTGCCTTCATTCTATAACTTATTTTCATTGGAACTAAGTTTTCTCTTGTAAATTTACTTCTTAGCAATGTTTAGTTTTTACCCGCTCCCCCAAGCTGTTCTTTCTATTCGTAAACAACATTAATTAGTCTTATTTTGGACAATCAAAGCAGCAATTATGTTTATTCTTCAATTTATACCAAAAATTAGTCGCTACGATTGTATTTAAGTTGTTTCTAAGGCTGTTGGGAATTATTTTTATACATTTATCTTTGCCCTTGAAACGACGTGGTACTGTTCATCTACTATTATATTTAATAAAGCCTTGAATTTTTCAGAGCTGGAGTTCTGATAAACGATGAGTTCGACAATGAAGCCTGTAATGTCGCAGGGGAACAAGACTGCTCCTGTGTCCTCTCAGATAAATAAACAAATTCATCCCCAAGGCATTCCGACTACTTATGCACAGTCAATAAGCCATATGCCACAAAATCTTATTAGTGTACCCCACAATACAAATGTACACACTAATGCACATAGCATTGCACATCATGTAAACACAAATGTACACAACACTAATCATTATTCCTTGAATGTTCCGAATGCCCCTCAACACTTTCCAATTAGTGGAAATTCTCCAGTCTTGCATTCAAATACACATGCACACTCGGGTATGGGACATCCTGTTGGATCTTTTGGTAATCCTTCCAAGACACCAATATATGAACCAAACTATCAAAGTAATCAGGGACAGTTGGAAAAGAATCCGAATTTGCTCTCAGTACAAAATAATTCGTTGCCTCAAAGTTCGAGCAGTGGACCTCATGTCAGAGAAAATGTAACTGCATCTGCTTCTACTGAAAAAGTTCAATCAAATGGTACTTCGGAGAGTAGTGTCTCTTCTAAAGAACCCAAATCCTCATATGTTCCATCTCCTGTTAAGGACAAACCTAATTCTACACCACTTCAGCAAGTAGATAAACCTGCTTTAACTGTAGAAAAGAAAGACGAAACTTCTGAATGTCTGCTTACATCACAAGAAAAATTACAAACTACAACAGCTTTAGTACCTAATGTTCCTGAACAGAAAACTGAGCATGTTGTTAAACCTGATGAAAGTTCAAATTCTTCAAGTGTGGAATCAAACGATTCTGAGCCATCAGAGAAACCTATTTCTGCCAATTCTTCAGATGTACCAGAAAGCACCTCTTCTGTAATGGAAAATATAAGTTCAACTCCTTCTAGTTCTGAACCTTCAGGTACAATATCTCCTAAATTCATGCCAAATGAAAATGAAACTAAGAAAGAAGAATTAAAAGATATTACCACCAAGGAAGCCCCCAAAACCTCGCCTTCAAAAGATCAAGTTCAGGTATTGTTATTTTTTAAATTTATATAACGTAAAATATTAACAAGATAACTTATGTGAGTTCACAGAAAGTATGAAAATCTTTTCTCTTTTCATTTTAAATAGCAATTTCTCATTCATTGTTACTTATGAAATAATACAAATTATATTTTTACATTTGTTAAATGATCTTTTCAAACTCATTTAAGTCAAAAGTTCTATTGAGTATGAAAGTGTTTCTTTCTTTGAAAACTTTATTTTTAAAAAAATTTTTTACTTTTTAGAGGGTGATTTTCTTTTAAGTATATTACTTTTATTTTATCTATAAATTTTTTGTAAATATGCAGTTAAAAAAGTAATAGTACAAGATTGAAATTTATTTTTTTTATTTTTAGCAATCAGCATCTACAAATCCCAAGTCTTCTACACTAAAATTGGCTACAACAGCAAGAACTCCAGTTAGGAAATCAAAGGCAAAGTCAGATGCTGTGGAGAATCCTAAAATGGGTTCCAAAAATGAAAAGTCTCCTACCCAGCGATCTCCTGGTTCCATGACCAAAGCCAAGAGGAACCGTATTAGAACCCAGCATTATCAGAGTCCTTTACCTGAGGTTGAAATGATTTCAAAGATGACCAGTTCAAGCACACCTCGAAATAAAAATAATGAAGATAGACTTATCATATTTTTTAAGTGAGTTTTATGTTTTATATTTCAAATATCTCTCAATCTATATTACAGTATTTATTGCAACAAAGGAATACTTACAAATGAGATGAAGGCACATATTTACATAATAACCAACATATTGGTAATATAATTCTCGTTTTTTGATTTGTAGAAACGAATTTTTGGCAGTGAGGAATGCTGATGGCGGTTTCTATGTATGTCAAGCTGTCCAGAACATTTATAAATCCTCGCCAAGGATCCGCATTCGTTGGCTTTCTCAGGATAAAAATGACAAGTCCGGTGAATTTTATACTCCAGACTTCTATGATTACACAGGTATAGTTTGTTCGTTAGTTACGGTTTTTAAAATTAAAAGCAGATGAAATTTTAGTGAACTGTTTTGTTAGATTTTTAATTGTTTTAATTAGGTATACAATAAATAAACACAACTTAAAATCTAAATTGCAGGGTTACAATCTTTCCTTTTTTTTTATTTAACATTCAAAAGTTGTCTATTTCTAATTTTTCAAGCTCTTTCATTCCTTTTTATGGCAAGTTTTCATTTTCTGAAAGTTATACGAAAATATAATTTGATAAAAAATAAACCTTTTATTTATATCAGACTGGGCTTACTCGTGACTAATTTTAAATGAAGAGGGTGAAGTATGAATTTTTTCATTTCGTCAACTCAAATCAGTCTTTAGTGTGATTTTTTTGCCATCCGTTTTGCGCTCACAATTTATGCATCTTACAAATGCGTTTGCATTACTTTTTATTTTATTTTAATTTTGTTAAAGAACCTACATATTAACACCCGAGAAATAAAGCTTCTAGTAGGGATGACTTTGAAAATTTCTTAATCACGTACTTATTATTTGTTTGAAAAGTATATACGTTTATTTTATTTAAAATTTATGCACGCAGGAAACACGATTTTTCATCTGTGTGTTTACTCCCCATTTTATAACCCCACAGGGATTGGTTTTCAAAAAAATTTTAATACATCTACATTATTTAAGAAAGACATTCTCCAAATTTCAACTTTCTATCTTCACTTGTTTAGATTGCATTGTCTGTCTGTCAGTTACTGAACTCTTATATATAAATAAATGTACATGCTTTCAAGTTCCAAAGAAAGTTAAAGTTGCATGTCTTTTTTATAGACTTTGATTGCATTTTGACCAATTTGAATTTGGAACGCGTTGAAAAGGGCAAATTCAGACTTCCTTCGAAGGAGAAAGATCGCACAGACAATATCTTAAAAAGAGCATTGGCCGTGGAACAAGGTGATTCGAAAGTACCCTCACTCACTGAAGAACATCCTGACGGAAGTAAGGACATTTCTATATTTCTTTTATCTAATTAACTTTTTTCTTATTAACAATTCTTATGGAAAAATTTAATGAACACAAGAAAAAACATGATAAATAAAAGGGTCTTCCTATATTTCTTTGTCAAAAGTGCCTCCGCTATAAACTTAGGTATTTAGCTTTGTTGTAATGTAGAGGAGGTTAATAGTAGTTGTTACAGAGGATATTGTCATTATGTTTTGGTGATTAATGGTGATATAAGCGCCTAATAATGACTTTTTCAATGCGCTACGATATATTTAAGTAACTTCTAAACCTAGAAAAATAAAACCAGGAGGAAAGGTTGTGGTACACTCGAGTTTATTTTATAACGTTTTCCATGAAACAAGTCTTACCCTGCTTTCACACAGACGGTTTTCTAACGGTAACCGTGCCGTGCCGTGCCGTAATTTCATTTTGCTTTGCGTTCACACTGCACGCGGTTTTTCACGGTTTAGTTTTGTTTTGATACATGACCAAAATGGACGAAAGAAAAAAACGCATGTTGTTACTAATGATATGGCATAATCGCAGAAAAACACAAAAAACAAGAAGATTTTGGATTCATCCACTACTTGAAAACAGACAATTGATGGGTGAATTTGTAACATTATTTCATGAGCTACGAGAGGATAGCTCCAAATTTTTTAATTATTTTCGAATGTCCATTAGGAGTTTCGATGAATTATGCGTAAAATTGCAAGATGATTTAAAAATTAGTAATAGTCATCAAAATTAATTGACAATGATTACGCTTTATTTAATATCAAGAGGGAAATAAAAAAAAATTGAGTATCAATCAGAAAACAATCTATCAGAAATAGAAAAAGGTTTTCCTTTCTGTTATGTAACGCTTTGATACCAAAAGAAATCAAATTATTAAAGTTTTCACTGTCTAGCTTATAAGAGATAAAAGAAGATTGTAATATATATCTGTACAAAACCTTGTTTCTTCAAAAATATCCGAGAAAATTTAAATGCTCATATTCAATATATCCTTTGTATTATCTTCCCCAATGATATATTATTAAGAAAGGAGGTAAATTTTTCTTAATTATATAATCTCTACCGATGCTTGGAGTAAGATTTTTACCTTGATAAAGACACTGTTCCAAATATTTTCACAGAGAATAATAATAATAATAGAAAGACAGATACAAAAGAATTCGAGTAGAAATATTTACAAAAGGGTGCAATATAATGTTTAGTCAAATATATGTTTTAAATTAAATATAGCGGTGTTATTATCCGCCACACTATATAATTTCTTCTGTTAACTGCACAATTCAGAGAGAAAAACGATCCTGAAAACAATTTTTGCCGTGTGAACACACGGCACGTGTGAATACTTCTATACACTTGCTTGTCTCACTGTTGCCGTGCACGGCCACGGCGCCGTGCCTTTGCAGTCCCCATGCCGTGCTGCGACGACAGCCGTGCACGGCTACGGCAGCAACCGTGCTGTGTGAAAGCTAGCATATAAACCAATGTATTACTATTATACACGGCATCGTTGCCGTGCACGGCCACGGCAAAAAACCGTCTGTGTGAAAGCAGGGTTAGTAATATACTAAAAAAAAAAAATAATGGTACATTACGTTCGAGGGAAGAAGCAGGGTTTTTTCAGACTGCATGTGAATTGCCACCTGAGCCTAAATAATAGTAATAATAATAACCAACAGAAAACACCTATAAAGTAATGAATTCTTATGATAAACTTAATCTCAACTACTCTTACAAACTAATTCATAATATTGTTTTTTTCCTTGAAACCAGTACACATAAGTTTATTATGATGGATTACACAATTGTAATACTAGGAATAACTTAAACTAGACGGTCTATATGTACTAACTTAAACGAAAAGGTTAAAAACGGGAAGTATCCTCTATTTCACCCTCACAGGTGGAATATTTTCTTCAAATTTAAGTTAAATTGAGATACAACCTATTAAAAAAGTCGCCGTAGTCGCACGTTTTATTTCAATTCAGATAATTGTTAATGTACGGTGACTACGGCGTTTTAATTAAAAGAACTTATATTTATTTCTTTTGTGAATAGGTATTTACAAAATCTTTGTAATTTTTTTCTTTTTCTCTACTTTGGTTTTCTTGATACTTGTTTGTTCTGTAAGCCAGACATTACTAGGTTACATTTCAATGTATATTCACATATCGTATTTGATTGTTTTTATATAATATTTTTAAGCCCAAATATTCATTCTACTATAATATTTTTATTTCTTGGTGTTGTAGTTGATCTATCATTATACAAAGAGGAAAGCCAGCTGAAAAAGAAACGTCGACCAAGTAAGAGAAAAGCTTCGTCGCCGTTAAGATCACCTGCAAAATTGTCGTCTGCTGGAGTGGATAAGAAGTTGCCTGAAACTCCAAAAGTAAAAAAGAAGGCTCAGGCTACTGCTAAAAAAGTAACCAGAAAACAACAGCAACAAACTGCTGCGGCGGTGGAAAGGAAGGCAACCGGTACGGCCACAACTACGACGAAAAGAGTCCCGTCCACGAGCGGAGGCCGAGCTGAGAGGGCTAAAAGACGATTGCACGAGACAGCGAGTGTTTCTAAATCAGCTGCTTCCACTCCTGTCGACTCCAAGAAGGCCAAGGTATTGGCTAAAATGGCGAAGAAGAGGACTGGCGTGTCTGTACCAGTTACTAAAGTTTCAAAAGCAGGTTAGTCCATTTGGAATAAAAATATTCTTTAAAATGTAAAATAACGACCCAACATAAATCATTTTATCCAGTACAAATTATACTACTAATCGGGAAATATTTACATAAACATTGAAGTGAAAGTAATTAATATTAAATAGTTTTCGATGAGTGGATGTAGTTAAAAATTAATCTTTTATCTGCGACGTTTGTTTTGGTTAATCATTTTATTAAAAAGAAGTGTTTTGCTGAAGCGTACTCACACTCGCCTTGTAACTAAGTGGACTCGGATTCAATTCTCCAGTGTTTCGTGAGCACAAAGCACAGTGAAATTACTTAAAATGATTAAAATTAATGTAAAGGGACCATTTAAAAGCAATTTCGTTAGAAAATGTTTCTCAGAGAACCAACAGTTAAATTTTTAAATACCAAAACATTTTTTCTTACAGCTGTCAAAACGTCAAAAGCTGCCGTTTCAAAAGGTCAGAAGCAACCTCCTCCTAAGCAGGCGTTGCAGCCTCAGCAGCAAGTGAGAAAATCAAGGCGGGGCCGAAAATAAAACGAATAAGAATTTATTTATATATATATAATTA